AAAGCCCAGAAAGAGCGAAAAATTGACGTAATAGCATAATAGTGACAGTAAATTAGGGATAGTTATAGGGGAAGTAATATACATAAGAACGTCATCTGCGAACTGGGCACATTTATGTTCTTGTTGTCCGCAATGAATGTCATAGATTAGGGGATGGGAGTGAATTGCCATAGCCAGAGGCTCAATTGTCAGCGCAAAAGCAAAAAGGAGTGGAGACAATGGGCAGCCCTGTTTAATACCTCTTTGGATTGGAAATACACAAGATTTGTAGCCTTTAATGGAGACCTGAGCTGAGGGATTATCCTATAATAAGCGCAGCAAAGCCAAAAACGATCGGCCAAATACAAAGGCCTTCAGGGTAGTAAGCAGATATTCCCACGTCAGGCTATCAAAGGCCTTCTGAAGGTCCAGAGAAAGAAGCAAGAGTGCTTGAGAAAGGGGAGCGTCCCAATTAGAACGGACAGCTGAGATCAGAGTAATAGATCTGCAAATCTGGTCTAACATTTGACAACCCATTATGAACCTGGTCTTTATGTATATATTGTGCCAGAAAGGAATTAAGACGTATGGCTAGAAGTTTCATAACATTTTTAAAGTCACAATCAATTAAGGAAATAGGGCGATAATTGCGGACATCAGAAGAATCTTTATTGGATTTGGGAATAACACTAATATATGCCCTATTTTCATCTAACGGGACCCCTCCCTCATCCTCCAAGGAATTGAAGTATAGTGTCATATGTGGAAGAAGATGAGCAGAAAAAGTTTTATAGTACTTATTAGGAAGGCCATTGGGGCCCGGGGATTTATGTGACGATAGTAATTTAAGAACGTTTTGGAGCTCCTCAGAAGTAATAGGTTGTTCCATTAACTATCTACGGGCTTCAGTGAAGGAGGGAATAGGCAAAGACTCTAGAAAAGATCGAATAGAGGAAGGTGGGCCATACAGGGAGGCATAAAAATCATGAAATTCCCCAAGAATCTTCTGAGGATCTTGCGTAATAGTACTCCCCTTTAACCGGAGTTTGGGCAGTGCTGAATAAGCGAATTTGAGGGTAAGCGTATGCGCTAGAAGGGAACCTGGTCTGTCCCACCACGTAAAAAACGTATAATTCATTCAGCGTAATTGTTTTTCCGCTTTTGTGGTGAGGCAGAAGTTAAGTTCCAACCAGGCTTGCTCCACCTTAGACAAGAGTTCTGAGGTCGGGGTAAGTTCATGTTGGGCAACTAGTGATTCATATTCTCTAGATTTGGCAGAGATCAATTCCTCACGATACTTTTTTATTCTGTAGGACAGCTGGATAAAGAAGCCTCTAACTGAGGCTTTGTCGGCTGCCCAATTAATAGAGGGATTCATATCCTCTGCCCTATTGCAAAGTAGGACTTGAGATGGTCACCCACTGCCAGGCAACATGACTCATCACTCAGTAAAGCCTTGTTTAAATCGCCAATGTGGTTTAACCACTCTGTAAATACGTTCACCTTTTAGACAAAAATAATAAATGCACATTTTTTTTTTGTAGGTAAAAAAATGTGCATTTATTATTTTTGTCTACAGGAGCCTGGAAAGCATTGCACCAGCGATAAGTAGATCGCTGATGCCATGCAAACCTCCTGTAGCCTGTCAGAATATCTGCTTGCCGTACGGGATGTACGAGCAAGCAGATATTCTGATAGGAAGCTCCACAGCGCGCCGTGGTAGTTCAATGAAAACTACAAGCTGACAGCCGCTAAAGCTGTCGGGACTTGCAGTTCATTCATTCAAGGAAGTCCGTGAATGAATGTTGTGGCCGTGTGGATGAAGCCCCACACCAACACACTGTTTTCAAAGTTGACAGATCGTACGAGGAGAAGTCTTCCTGTACTATCTGTCAGAGGAAGGGGGGGCAGAAAGCGGCAGCTATGGCTATAAGAACATGTTACATGTTCCACCCTAAAAACGGGTGGAACATGTAACATGTTCCCAAAGGTGAACAAAGCCTGCATTACTCTAAAATGGAAGGATCCAATTCCTCCTTCCATTTTGATGTGGCTTAACAAGGTTGAGGATGTTAATACTTTAGAGAATCTGATACCAACCACCCAACATATATAGTTCTACTGCAATCAGTTTATCTACTCTGACGAAGGCAAAACACTTATGGTACCCTGTTCTGAAGACTAAACTGCCTCAGCTACTCTCCCCTCCATTTTCCCTCTGTCATGAACCCCCCCTCCCTTTTCTTTTTTTCCTTCTCTACACTCTTCCTCCTGCCCCAGTTCCTCTCCTGTCTTTTCCTCCTTTCCTGTTAACTCTATACGTTTTCACTCTCTTTTCTTTCATTCCCTCATATTTCTGGTTATAGTAGAAAACGAGGTGTACAACTAAGCAGACTATATTTGTCCACTGATTATTTTGATACTGGAGATGAACTTCGCTCCCCAACTCTTTGTGGTGTCAATTACTGGATGTGGCTGCTACTGCCGGATTCGCAGGCTTCGGCAGTATGAATGGCTGGAGCCACAATGACGTCACTTCTGCACGTGCGCGCGAGAGCCCTTGGCTGCGGTATGGAGCTCTGAGGTCCATTCCTTCAGAGCGCATTTGCCGGTGACATCACCAGCTGCATGCTGTGTGAATATCTTCTAAACAGTGCAAGTTTAGGAGGTATTCACTGAACCTACAGGTAAGCCTTATTAACTTACAAAGTGGACATTAATCTCCCTGGAGGTATTCCCGAGTGTAGCTTGGGGTAATGTTTCAGCACCAAAAGCGGTAACCCCGAGCTACACTCGGGAATACCCTGCAGTTCTGCTCTGGGATCTCTTCTTCACTTACCTTGTCCTGCGCTCCCGCGATGTCCCTCCTGCAGTGTCCCCGGCAATGTCCTCTGGCGGATGCTGGCATCTGTCTGGGTTCCATTCCCTGCGTCAGTCAGGACGTATGGGGACGGAACGGCGGGAAATTAAAAAAATGTGAAAAAGTGACATTCACTCAATACACTAAAATCACATAGTATAACATTACTGTTTCAAACCATTTCACATACATTGTGTCCCTAGTGCTTTGTCGCGGCGCCCTGCCTGCATTTTTACTGTTCTTTCTGCCTGGAAACTGAGAAACGTCCATGGCGTCCAAAAAAGCGTCCCTTTATGTCAAAAGCGGTTTTTAGACCATCTAGAGAACAGCGATAATAGATCAGAACCACTTGCAGAATTGAGTGATAATGATTCGTGGGCAAATTCGTCATCAGACACTGAAAACGATTTTGCGACTGAGCTCAGCGATGTGCGAACATGGCGCTCTCTTTTTCAAATTTCAGTGTTTTGGTTTGATTATATTATTGAATGGAATTTATTATTATATTATTTATTTTTTATTTATTATTTATTTAAATTATAATTTATGATTTTGTTTTTCAAATTTTAACATACCTGGGATGTTTACTAGACTCTTGTTCGGACAGATTTCAGTGAGTTATTCCTAAAAAATTACAGGCCTACAATAAAAAAAAAAATGCACAGTACCGCTTTGAGCACAGAAATATGGACATAATCAGACCGCTAGAGAGGCTACGTAGTTGTAAAGGCTCAAGGTTTTTTTATCTTCATGCATTTTAAGCATGAAGGTAAAAAACCTTCTGTGTGCAGCAGTGCACCCAGCCCCTCAATACTTGCCTGAGCCTCATTAAGATCCAGTGATGTGCATGACAGCTTCGGCTGTCCCGGGTCTCTGCCTCCCCATACTAAATGGGCGGGCCAAGATATAGCATTTCCAGGTAGGGGACGCTCATGCGCACTACCCGCATCACCATTCACAGCTGTAAATCATCGAGTTCTGGCTGGTGATTACTCACCAGCGCCTGGTGATTATCGAGGATCTCCGATGGGGAGGAGAACTGTTTTGTTTACTAACAGTTCTCCTCCCTATCAGCTTCGGCACACTGCTTTGGATGGCTGTGCACAGCACAGCCATCCAATGCAGTGTGCTTACAGTGAAGCACATAGACACCGCCCCCTAGTAAAACACAACCAGCACACAGTTAACCCTTTGATCACCCCTCATGTTAACCCCTTCCTGCCCAGTGCCATTAGTACAGTGTCAGTGCTTTTTTTTTTTAGCACTGATCACTGTATTGGTGTCATTGGGGATGTTAGTGACATCAAGTCAGTTCCCCCCAGTGTCAGAATGTCTGCCGCAGTCCCACTATAAGTCGCTGATTGCCGCCATTACTAGTAGAAAAAAAAAATCCCAGTATGTATACCCGCCATTTGTAAACGCTATAACTTTCACGTAAACCAATTAATTTACATGTAAATTTTTTTTTTTTTTAGCAAAGACATGTCGCAGAATACATTTTGGTCTAAATTTATGATGAAATTTGATTTTTTAAAAAAATTTTTACTGGACATGTTTAATAACAAAAAGTCAAAAATATTGCTTTTTTTTCTCAAAATTGTTGCTTTTTTTTTTTTATAATACATAAAATAAAAAGCACACAGGCATTCAAATACCACATAGAGCTCAATTTGTGGTGAAAAAAAGGACGTAAATTTAATTTGGGTGAGTTGTTGCATGACCGCGCAATTGTCAGTTAAAGTAACGCAGCGCCGGATTGCAAATAATGGCCTGGTCAGGAAGGGAGGGAAAATCCTCAGGAGGGTAAGTGATTAAAGGAATCTTTGAATAGAGGCCTATGCAGCAGACCAAAATAAGGGACAACCTAGGAGGAAAGAAGGGCAGTGAAAGTTACAAAGAAGGACGAGTTTCTCCAAATAGGAGCAATGGAATACAGGAACTAAAAGTTCTTTCACAAATCTGAAACTTTGTAATTTGCATATCAAGCAGCAGAAGCATGAAAAGACCAGCTGAACTACACAATGGAGGACAATGCCCGGAAGTAAGATGGACACTGCAGGCTGTGGATTTACTTCCGGACACAGGGGTGAGAAGGAGGCTTGGAACGCGGTATCCCCGCCTGTTCCTGTGTTCGTCTCTTCAGTGCAGGCTGTACTGGTGAATGGGGGAGAGATGGAGACTCTGTGTGCTGATAGTCGCCAGTCTCTGGTGCAGGAGCTGAAGCAATACACTGAGCGATGTGAGAGCCGGCTGAACGATCTGCTACGGGAACTGGGCTGGGAGCAGAGCTGTCCTGGAGAGGAGCAGGTAGGAGATGATGGGGATGTTTCCTATGGAGAGCACGCAGCCTGTACCTCTTCTGCTCTGGACTCTGCTGGGTGATGTTTGTGCCACTCAGTGCTGTATACATGTGACTCTCATGGGGACTGCAGAGCTCACATTCCAGTGTTTACCCACAATCCTACGGGCACTTCTACCCCTTCCTGCCCGGCCAATGTCCAGCTTTCAGGGCTGCTGCACTTTGAATGACAATTGCATACAACACTGTACCCATATAAAATTTGTATCATTTTTTGTGACAAATAGAGCTTTATTTTGGTGGTATTTAATCACCTCTGGGGTTTTTTATTTTTTCTTAAACCAAAAACCACTGAAAATTTTGAAAAAAAAAAAAAAAGGTTTTTGTTATAAAATTTTGTGAATAAGTGATTTTTCTCCTTCACTGATGTGTGCTGATGATGCTGCACTGATGGACACTGATAGGCGACACTGATGGGCATTGATAGGCGACACTGATGGGCATTGACAGGCATCACTGGGCACTGAAAGGCAGCACTCATATATGGCACTGATAGGCAGCACTGATACGTGACACTGAAAGGCAGCTCAGATGGGCACTGGTGGCATGATGGGCAGCACTGAGGAGAGCTGAGAGCTGGCACTGATGGACACTGACAGGTGGCACTGCTGGGGCTACACAGATCATCTGGGCACAGTGATCATCAGTGCCCTGATGATCAGTGTACATGTCCCCTCCGAGGAATGCCAATTACCGGATATGCTCTCCTCTCCTCTGTCAGCATGACAGCTCATGGGGAGAGAAATGCCGATAACCGGCATTTCCCTGTTTCCATGTGATCAGCTGTAATTGGACACAGCTGATCACATGACCGAACCGACATCTTCAGCTCTTTCTGTGGATCGGGAATCCGCTGTGTCGGAGGGACACAGCGCACCGATCGCTGTGCTGCATGCTCCGGGAGCCGCGCATGTGGGGTTAGAATGGGAGGAGGACGTCATATGACGTCCTCCCAGAACGAGAGAACCACCTTGCATCCGTCATATTACTATATGGCAGGTGGGAGGCGGTTAAAGTTGAAGTCACCCTTGAAGGGGACTCACAAAATTAACCACTAGCCCCCTTGAGGATTTACCCCCCCCCCCCCCTTCCTGACCAGGCCATTTTTTGCTTTACAGCAACTGACAATTGCACGGTCATGCAACGCTGCACCCAAATTAAATTTACAAACTTTTTTTTTCTCCCACGAACTGAGCTTTCTTTCAGTGGTATTTGATCGCCTGTGCAGTGTTTTTTTTTTTTTTTTTTGCATTCATAAAAAAAAAAGACCAACAATTTTAAGAAAAAAAAACTATATTTTTTGGCTTTTTGCTATTAAACATGTCCAGTAAACAAATTTAAAAAATAAAATTTTGTCATATTTAGGCGAAAATGTATTCTTTGCCATGTCTGCTAAAGAAAAATCCCAATACCTGTAAATTAATTGGTCTACGTAAAAGTTATAGCGTCTACAAATGGTGGTATAGATACTGATATTTTTAAATTTTTAATAGTAGTAGTGGTGATCAGCGGCTTATAGCGGGACTGCAGCATACATTCTGACACTGGGGGGGAACTGACTTGGTGTCACTAACATCCTCAGTGACACCAATACAGTGAAGGTTTAAAAAAAAAAATCAAAGCACTGACGCCGTACTAATGGCATTGGGTGGAAGGGGTTAGCATAAGGGTTCAAAGAGTTAACTGGTGTGCTGGGTGTGTTTTACTATGGGGCAGTGTCTGTGTGCTTCACTGTAAGCACACTGCTTTGAGTGGCTGCTCTGCACAGCCATTCAAAGCAGTGTGCCCGAGCTGACAGGGAGGAGAACTGTTAGTATACAAAACAGCTCTCCTCCCCATTGGAGATCCTTGGTAATCACTGGGCGCCGGCGATTGACAACCACGGCCGCAAATGGCAGTGCAGGTAGGGTGCACTTGGCTCATGTGCGCCCCCTACCCAGAAATGCAAAGTCACGGATATACGTGATTTTGTGCACCCATCCCTCTCTGTAGTAGTAGTATTTCTGCTATAGGGTGGTCAGGAAGCGGTTAAAAAGGAGCTGAAGAAATCCTTATTCGTCCGCTTACCTTGTAGCGGAGTTCCCAGCATTGATCTGCTTTGTATCAGCCAATCGAATTGGATTGGAAAGCTCTTTTGGCTGTGGATCATAGGAGTGTAATTCATTCTGCATTCCTTTGACCTGTTTGCAGCTGACAGCGGGCTGAAGCCAGCTGTTTTCTGATGTCACTCTGCTAGTCCGGCCTGGGGAAAGATCCTGAATTTAAAGTTGGGATTCACCTCCAAGTCTGGAGCGGCACCTGGCTCAGCCTCTCAGCGATCCGCCCTCCCCCTCCACAGCCTAGCGCTTCGGTGAGTGCGTGCGTAGGGGGGGCGCAGAGCAGACAGCACTGACTGACAGTCAGCGCTCTCTGCTCAGAGTGACTGTGAGAACTCGGTGATCAACAGTCATGTGATCACTGGGTTCTAACCCTAACAGACGTCAGGGGACAGATGCAGCATCAGACCAATGCTGCATCCACCTAGGTATGTATGATTAAAAAAAAAAAAATACTATGCTTCTCTTTTAACATCTAGGTGCAATCAAAGGGTTAACTGTGTGTCTAACAATGTGTTAAGTGTTTACTGTGTCTTGATTTTACTAAGGAATGTTTCGGTTTTTATTCCCTGCTTTGCAGGGAAACAAAAAACGGCACATCTACACTGTCAAGACACAGCTCTGTGTCGTTTAGAGAGCTCTCTCCTGTCATCCACTTTGCCGATGGGTGGTCCCGGCCATAATTAATTGGCCAGAACCCCCTGTTTGGCTTGTACTGTAACGAGTCATAGCACAGCCAGGGCGACGGGCGTGCTGTCCTGCAGCAGTGTATCTGTGTGGGGCGGTCCGCAACTGGGTTCAGTATAATAAATGTGCCGTGTAAATTCATGCGCTTTATAAGTACCTGTAAAACTGACCCTGGATGCAGGCAGTACGCATCAAGGGTCAGCATCTTTGCAGAGCTCTGGCCACAGCTAATCAGTCAGTTTGTATGCAGCCATAACACAGAGTGTTGCTGTGCCCAGAAGTGTGTTTCAGCACAACCTGTGCTCCTCTGGCCATCTGTGTTAATGTAGCCTTACATACACATGCGCATATACAGTGCTCAGCATAAATGAGTTACAGCCCTTTTGAAAAATACGAGATTTTAATCAATATCTCAATGAACACAAGACCAGTATGCAAAATTTGACAAAACTTGAGTTTTATAGAACATTTGTATAGCTCATTACATGAAAGTAAAGTTAATAATATAACAGGGCTTCTCCCATCCTATGGAACTCCCTACCCCAATCTGTCTATCTGCTATCTCCTAATCTATCCATCTTTAGACGATCCCTGAAAGCCTTTCTCTTTAACCACTTACTAACTGTGCTATAGCTGATTGACGGCTACAGCTTGGTTACCAGCTCGGGAGGGCGTCAGAATGTGTGCCCTCCCACGCGCACCCGGCAATCTCCGTGATCATCTCTGTCCAATGACACAGCAGATCACAGAGTAAATGCAGTTGCTGGTTATTGGCAGCACTTTCCTCACGCTGTCACAGCATGAGGAAAGTACGGTCGATAACCGGTAGCTGCCTCAGAGGAGATCGGCACTGATGATCAGTGCCTGCAGTGCCACCAGTCAGTGCGCCTATCAGTGACTATCATTGCTGCATATATCAGTGCTGCCTATCCATGTCACCCCATCAGTGCCTGCAGTGCTGCCTATCAGTGCAGCCTCATCAATGCATATCAGTGAAGGAGAAAAATTACCTGTTTGCAAAATTTATAATAGAAACAATGAAAAACCTTTTTTTCCCAAATGTTTTCCCTTTTTATAGTGCAAAAAATAAAAACACCCAGTGGTCCTTAAATACCACCAAAAGAATTTTTGTGTGAAAAAAAATAACAAATTCATATGGGTACAGTGTTGCATGACCACTCAATTGTCATTCAAATTGTGACAGCGCTGAAAGCTGAAATTTGGTCTGGACAGGAAGGGGAAATAAGTGCCCGGTAGGCAAGTTGTTAAAGAAGTCTATCCTGCTTCTAATTAGTAAACTGCCTTTTATTTCCTCCATCAGCTCATCCCCCACAGCGATTACCTTTTGTATCACTCAACCCTTCCTCCTAGATTGTGAGCTCTAACAAGCAGGGCCCTCTGTTTCCTCTTGTACCAAATTGTATTGTAACTGTAATGTCTGCCTTCATTTTGTAAAGTGCTGAGCAAACTGTTGGTGCTATATACATCCTGTATAATAATAATAATAACGTAGATTACAAAATCTTCAGTTTTGCTCAAATTAATTGATGCAAACATGAATACACCCCACAACAAAAACTACTACATCTAGTATATTGTATGACCTCCATGATTTGTAAGGACAGCACCAAGTCTTCTAGGCATGGGATGAACAAATTGGCGACATATTGCAACATCTATCTTTTTCCATTCTTCAAGAACAACCTCTTTTAGAGCCTGGATACAGAATGATGAGTGATGCTCAACTTGTCTCTTCAGAATTCCCCATAGGTGTCCGATTGGGTTCAGATCAGGAGACATACTTGGCCAATGAATCTCTTTCACTCTGTTGTTCTTCAGAAATGCAACAGTGGACTTAGATGTGTGTTTTGGATCATTGTCATGTTGGAAGAGTGCACGGCGACCAAGGTCATGGAGTATTCTCTTTTCAATATAGAAGAGTACATCTGTGAATTCATGGTACCATCATTGAAATGCCTGACACCAGCAGCACTCATGGAGCCCCACAGAAGGACATTGCCACCACCATGTTTCACTGTAGGCACTATACATTTTTCTTTGTACTCCTCACCTTTGCAACGCCAGTTTTGAAGCCATCCGTTCCAAAACATTTATCTCGGTCTCATTACTCCGGAGTACAGAGTCCCAGTAGTCTTCTTTTTCAG